GAGGAGGGATTTTATACGCCTTCTTAACAGTATTTCAAATTCCGACGCAAGAAAATATTTTCATTTTTTAGTTTCTCCTCCTCGTCAACATCTGGAATTTAGACATAAATTACTTTTGAATAAAAAAAGCACCAATGAATTGAATCTTCTCTTAATCCTTTAAAAAAAATTAGCATTAATTTGTTCTTTTCTGAGGTCTGTAAACCAAACCTGATTTTGGTTCCCAGGATCAGCATCAAGGACACTCTTGAATAGAATCAGCATTTTTCTCTGATTTCTTGCCCTTCAAAATATCTTTTCCTGATTTCTGAATTTTTTTTTATTTCTGAACACCTGTGATTATGTTGCAAATACCCAAGCAGATTTCCGTGCACAGAAGCTATTATTGAAAAATTTGTGTTTGGAACCTTCAAAAAGTGCATCAATTCTACCAGTCCATTTTTTTTCTCACTTGAAATATATCATCTCAAACTAGGACAAAACTTGTCCTGGCTGCTTGAGTGTTTTGCAATTATTTAGCGCATTTTTCAGATTTCATAAAGCAGATCATTTAGTTTGTTTCTCAAAGTTCTGAAAGTTAATTCCTTCTGAGCAACTTCTTAGTGGTCATTTTAATCTCATCTTGAAGTTTGAGTCTTTCATCTAAACTGTATAGGAGAAACACTCAGTTCGAACAAGAAAGAGTGTAGCCGAAGGTATTTCAGTTCTAAAGCTAACAAGATGAAGAGTATTCCGTGAACTATTAATTGGCGATGGTTAATCCCAGCCCTTATTATTTCTAGAAAAATATATATATATATATTCATGCATTCCCGTGCTCGGTCAAATCGCGGGATAATTTTCATTTCTACAGTTTCCCCCCGCGTCATCATAATCATAATCTTCTCCATCCTCGTCCACTATATATATATTCGTCTTCACCGTTGTCCGAAAAGGCCGAGCCAGACGCCGGAATTTTCTCTTCATTAACCCCGAGGGTCGGTGGAGCCCAAGTCCTATATATCTGAGACACACGCTTTCCCGAGTTGTCCAGCTCACAGCCACGACACGTTCCTGCTGCTCACCGTGCATTGCAGCAGTCGCTGTAGTGGCCAAAACTAGCAGCTCCGGTGACGTACTGCTGCCACTGCTCCTACAGCGCACGAGGGTCCCAAACGACCATCTGGTGCTGGTGCTGTTGCAGCCGAAGTCTCACAAGCACACATGCACACATAAACTGGAATTTTCACATGGAAAAATAAGAAAATAAATGAAAAAAAATATAAAGTAGGATATAAGCAGGAGAGAAAAGCCTCCCGAGCTCTCAACGCTATTGCTTCTGATCATCATCATAATATAGGTTCGTCGTGTAACGAAAAACGCTTGTAATTTTTATTTTATTTTGCTTTTGTTATTCTATATGGATACTATCGTATATAAGGCTCTCACGAATATAAGGAAAGAAAACACGCTTAGAAATGTGTGATAATTTTTAAAAGCATTATTAAGCGGCACGGTTTGTTTGCTACATAAGAAATAATAAGACCAGCATTCTTGCGTTTTTAATCGATATAAATTTATCGTACAACGGAAACGCGTGCAACTTGATTCCAAAATTTTAATTGCATACAGACGGGAAGAGAAAACATTCGAAGTTGCTTAATTTTTTTTTTTTTAGAGCATGAAACCGAGGTTATTCTGCCACGCGAAATATGACCAGCTTTATGCGTCTGATCATCACACACTTTTGTCTTGTGAGGATGACGCGTGTTCTTTCAATTTTCAAATTTTAAATTGTTCAATATATATAGTTGAGGCTTTTCACGGGAGGAAGTAGGAAACGTTCAGAGTTGCTTTTTGATTTTCAAAAGTTTTTTTTGTTGTTGTTGCTGCAAGAGGCAAATACTAGTCTTTTTTTTTTGATCAGTGTAAATTTTTCTCGTAAAACGATAACAACGTGTAAATTAATTTATACTTTGTTGTGGATCGCTGTAAAGAAAAGGCTCACACAGAAGGAAACAGAAAGCATTCAGAGTTGTGTACCGATTTTCAGAAGCTTGAAGATAATTTTTTTTTTTTTTGCTATAATTAGAAATTAAGATCATTTTTTAATGCTTCCAATCATCGCGCATTTGTTGCGCAAACGCGCGTAATTTAATTTTCAACTTTTATTCATTCGATATATAGTTGAACCTTTTCACGAAAGGACACAAAAACTTTCAGAGTTGCGTGTTGATTTCAGAAAACAATAAGCCCGGCACCATGCTTTCAATTATTATTAATTTTCTTACGTAACGAAAATGAGCGTAAGGTTGTTTTTTTAGTTATTTAGAGGTGTATGCTCTCACGGAAGGAAAATAGAAAATAATCAGGGTTGTTTTTCAATTATTTGAACGAGCACTGATTAACCCGCTTATTTTCTTCTTTGTGAGAGAAACAAAATGAGACCAGTCCTATAAATGCTTTTAATAATCTCAGGTTCGTTGTATGACCAAAACGCGGGTAGGTTATGCTTCCATCGTTGGTTAATTGATCTCGTAGGCTTTAATTGCTGATTAAAACTTGTCAANAACAAACTGAGACCAGTCCTATAAATGCTTTTAATAATCTCAGGTTCGTTGTATGACCAAAACGCGGGTAGGTTATGCTTCCATCGTTGGTTAATTGATCTCGTAGGCTTTAATTGCTGATTAAAACTTGTCAATGCCATCTATGGGAACAAGTCACGAGAAAACCTTGAGGTTTTCCCGCAGTAGTTCGTCAAAATTTTTTTGTATTTTGATTGAATTTATGGCCCAACGACCACCCAGATATTAAATCAATAAAGAAAGATAAATCTCGACCTTTTTTCTGTAGAAATTAACTCCTATGTTACACCTATAGGTTAACTTGACTTGCTGTAGAATTTTATTTTCGCCTTTATTGATTTGTTATGGGATCTTGTGTTTTTTTTTAATGCAAATTTAGGCTTCATTTACGGATAATCATTTTCTGGTGGTATCGTTTCAATAAATTGTTTGTTCAGAAGAAAAATTTTGAATTCGTTCTGCTAATACTGTAATAATAATTTATGCTTTCCCCTTTATTGATTTTTCACAATTTTTTTCAAAATTTAATATCAATAGAAAATGAATATTCGGGCTTCATTTACTGAACATCGCTCGCAGTTGGCTTGCGTCGGTTTGAATAAAAATGCTGCTCGGAAGAATTAGAACAGTTCATATTTCCCTGTGTTGATGGTGCACATTTTAAATTTTCACCTTTACTGATCTTCAATGGGTATATTATATTGTTCATAATTATGCCAGGATTGGAAATGTACATCTCAGCTTCATTTAATGATTCTGGATCAGTCAAATCAGATTCAATAAGAATGGTATTCGACAAGAAAGAGTTCGTATTTTTCAGTGATGATAACATGAATTTCAAGTTAGACCATGATGGTTTTTTTTAAAGAAAAATTGGAACTGGCGAATCAGGTTCACTCTTCCGTGAAAATGAAAAAAATACTCGCGGTTTTTCAGTTGAGATATGAAAGTCAATAAACCAAATTATTATTTTTTCGTCTGGAATAAAATTGCTCCAGTGCTGATGACATAAATTTCAAGTTAGACCATGATAGTTAAAAAAAAAAGAGAAAAATTGGAACTGAATCAGGTCTATATTCTTCCGAGAAAGTGAAAAAAAATACTCGCGGCTTTTCAGTTGAGATATGAAAGCCAAACTAAATGATTGTTTTTCTTTTTAAATCAAATTGTTCCCGTGCTGATAGCATGGATTTCAAAGTAGACCATGATGCTTTAAAAAAAAGCGAAAAATTGGAATTGAATCAGGTCCATTCTTCCGAGAAAGTGAAGAAAAAAATGCTCGCGGCTTTTCAGTTGAGATATATGAAAGCCAAACGAAATGTATATTTTTTTCTTTTGGAATCAAATTGTTCCATTGAATCAATTTGATCCAGTAACATGAATAACATGAATATCATGTTATTCACGGGAATAAGTCAGAAACATGAATTCCAGCAACATGAATTTCAATTCAGAGCATTATAGTTTAAAAAAAAAGGAAAATTTAAAAATAAATCAGGTTCATTCTTTGTGAAAATGAAAAAAAATACTCACGGCTTTTCAGTCGAGATTCGAAATCCAAACGCAATGCATTTATTTTCTCATTATGGAATAAAAATTTTCCCAGCTTCGGATTATCGTTATGAGAAATCCCGACGCTTTACTGGAGAAAACCGTTCCTCGTTATAAAACTAATTTGTCCCATTATTACCCTGGATATTATCAAGCACTTCGAAAATCAAGCATGTCAATAATACCACTTCCACTCATAAACGAGAAGTGCACTGACAAAAGAGAGGATGTCCCTGGACAGCGTATCAAGATACTGTACTTTACTCATCCACGGATTGATCATTTACTTTTCTGATAAAAGCAATCCAATTAGTCTCTAATGTGGAAGACCACTCAATCGTGCGATGGAATACTTATCACAAGGATATACAGGCTGTTACTATTTTTGAAACGGAAGTGATGACCGAAGGTGTCTATCAAGCTTTAGGAGGAGAAATGGGGCAAATGTTGCTTTGAATCCATCAAGTATTCTTTTTTGTTTTTGTTTGTTGTACAGTGAGATCCCGGGATGCGGACGTAATTGGTGCATCAAGAGTGTCCCTAAGTTGAAATGTCCCCAAGTCAAGTCACAATTTCCCTAAGACTTGAAGTACCTAATTTTTAATTGGTGTTTTATGCACAAAATACTCACCATAATTCCATGGAAATAAAATTGCCTCCCAATTTAATGATTCAATCAATATATTTCAACACAATATGGACATTTGCGGAATTGAATACTGNCATTGAATAGTGTACTTCTGTACAGTAAGTTTAAAAGTTGGCATCTGGAATAATAACATCCAAACACAAAGAGAGCTAGAAGGAAGTCACTCTGTGCTATAGGGGATTTTTTCAATTAGCTGAATGGATGGTAAATTGGTGAGAGAAATGCCCACAAACGTTTCCTACATAAATTTTAGGGTTGAAAATATCTGTTTCTTGTTATTTGGCCTGAAATGTATTTGCAATTTTATCACAAAATGTCCCTATGTTGAGTCAGCATCCTCGTGTCAGGCCTTTTTATCAATTTTTTATGGGAAAATAAGTGTCCCTATGTTGAATTGTCCGCAGGTTGAGGTGTCCGCATGTGGGGGTCTCACTGTATTTTTACAGCATTTGTAGTGAATTCGGTGCGTGCAATTTTATTTTTACAGTTTTCAAACAATTTTTATTTTTCGCAACATGAATTACTTGAAAATAACTAGGGCGATTCCGAAGTTCCGAAAACTCTTTTAAGAGCGCAAAAAATATCACGAATTTAGGCAACTATACAAGTTAGGGATGTTGAATGAATAGCATTTTGACGATAGAGACCATATGACGTAGGATTTCTGTCATCTGCAAACATCAGTTAACGTTCGCGCAAAAATAACTCCGCGCTTGCTTCATCGTGTCAAATGCACCCGCTATTCCAGCATGCAAAATTCTAGACATTTTCTCGAAGAAACACCCGCAGGCGAATAACTGCAAGCAGCTGTTTTTAAATGAAAAATATATTTACAGTATTTTGACGAGATTTGCTGGGCAAAAAACTGCATCAATATTCACCTATATCCAACGAAACTTTCACGGAATAAATGACAAAACTGATAAAACTTATGAAATATCCCCTCTATTCTAGGTACAACAGAAAATAAATTTTTCTCAACTTCCATCTCGAACTGAAAGAAAAAGATTGATCCCCACTTGACCTCGGATGAAAAAAAAAAGTTTTCCTTTTTGTACAAATGAAACATGCAGTGTCACTCAAGTTCAATCAGGAAGTCCCAAAGAATAACTTGAGGCTGCCAAGAATTACAATCGACGAGAGCAATTCTTTGTATATTTTCGACGAATGCGATTTGGCATAAAATCCGCAAAGAAATGCAAAGGGCGCCAGAAAAAGAGTCTACGTCACGTCTGTGGCCACATCATCAACACCGAGAAAAGGACACACGAAGAAAAATTGAAGCCCAAGTAGTTTCTTTTTCCTCAAGTCCCAAAGCATATATAGACGAGGGTGAACCTTAGACACATTATAAAAACAAATACGAGAACCCAACATGCCGACGTCATTCTCTGGGAGAAAAAAAAACTTATTCAATATTTCAAAACCGGCTGGACTAGAATTTAAAACAAAAGGAGACACTTAACAAAGGTCGACCTTTTTTCAACAACAAAAAATGAACACACGTTTCGATTTCCTGAAACAATCGTAAAAGACTGAAATGGTTTTAAAGTACTGTAATACCGAGGAAAAGTAGAGCAACCTCCAAGAGGTGACATCTATCGAGCGATATGAGCGTGTCGCATTGAAGATGGAACAATCAAAGCTCAACCATTTCTATTTTTTTTTCAAGTCTAATTTTCGAGTTTGATTGCATTGGTATGATGAGTATGCGTATTTAAAAATTATGAACCCTGACAGAAATTTGGCAAGTGCTTAATTTTAAGGGTTCAAAGGATTCGGGCACACATTGTCCTAGTTATGCGCGCCTTGAATAACTCATGAACTTCTCTTTAGTGAGACATACCACAGCAGTTCTTTTGAAATATTTCTACAAAACGTACGCGCATTATTTTCGAGGGATGGTAAGGTGAACGAAAATTATTTTTGTGATGCAAAATTTGTCAGTTTTTGCTTATTGACCTGTACTCAGATCAAAACTACCGTAAACACTTTGAAGAGAGAGGCGAACATTTTTTTTTTTAATGGATGTACAAAAACTTTCAATTTTTTCATATCCTGATTATAATTAAGCGGAAATTAAGTAAACTTATAATGAATGGAAATTCAAGAAATTTTTGCTGGATTGAAAACTGAAGTGATTACGTTTTATGAAAACACCCACGTGATCTTAAATCTTGTTTCTTTTTTCTTCGGAGGAAAACTAAAAAGAAATTACTCGAAAATTCCAGATGTATAACCACGAATACCGTAATAAAATACATTATCATGATTTCCTTCACTCCATGGCAATACAAACTCTTTAGTTCAGAAAAATTAATTAGAGACATAAGAATGCATTTTCAATTGAATTCGTTAGACGACTTCCAGAAGAATCCGAGCCAAGATTTTCGCGGGAATCTTCTCCTGTACCTTGTTATGCACTCGTTGACAACCCGGCAAATTGGGAACTCAAACCTTCTTTGCCATTCGATGACGTGAAAGAAATGAATACCAAATCGAAAATATTCTTTCACACAAAGATGGTTCGGGTGAAGGAATCAAAAATGGTTTTCTCGACAATGATTCGAAACGTCGCGACTTTCGGAATATATATGCAACTCTTTGGGCTTGCGCGCCTTTTTCTTTCTTCCTCAAATTTATTTTTTTTTAAATCAGAACTTATTTTCTATAATTGAAAATTCGCTTGTTCGATGCAACGAAAAACTGCCCGTAAATGTACATTTTCTGATGAATTGTGATTGGTTAAATTGCACCTTGTTCAGTCGTCGAAATACGAAAATAATATACAGTACAATAGTCTTAAATTGTATCTAATACATTAATCAATTAATTTGTGCCTAACAGGAACACATAGAACATTTCTTTACAATATTTACAAGGTTTTGAAATTCCTGCTTCGTATTGTCATTTACAGAAACTGAAGTAAAAAAATAAAGCCAATATTTTTATATTTAAGGGAAAGTCAATGAATTTTGAAGCTGGAAATGAAAAAAATTAGCACCACACATTGTTTTAATTACAAAGGGCTGATATTAATTTCAGGGGAAAAACTAATTAATCACAATCTGGATTCAGATGCAAGATGAATTCAATTTACATGAATTATTGCACGCTTTGCATTTTTGAATATTTCTTTAATTTTTAATCAGGATAATAAAAATCGTGGAAAAGACCTCAAAACTGTCTGAAAGAACCATTTCAATTGTGAATTGATTGGGAAACAATCACATTGTTATCACACTTGGAAGACCAGAAAATCGACAGTTCAAGATCAAACTCAACACTTCAATCTTGTGATAATTAATCACCTGGTTGTATTCTTATCTCGAATCATGTAGTGAGTATACAGTTACAAGGTTCCAATTCTAGGAATAGTCAGCCTAGTGAAATGCTTTCTGTCAAAAGTGAGGAATGGGTTGATTAGATTTTTCCGCCGAAACCAGATAAGGTTCAGAAGCCTTCAGGTTCAGACAACAAGACAAAGAGATGATAAAATGGTTCAGTCTATACAGTATAATTATAAAATTAACAAGATAATCAAAATATCGTGGAAACCTGGCAAATTGAGACTTTTCCAAATACATCTCATTTTGTATTCCGTCATTTCAATGCTTTAAAATAATAGAAAAGTAATCCGCAGAAATCTATTTGAAAGAATTCGTTTTCGGTGGAATATTTTCGTGTTCAAACAATCATGTATCAACAATAATAGTCTCGAAAATTTTCATCCAATTTCACTTTTTCAAAAGTGAAAAATCGCTAAAGACTTTAACCGAGCACTTCATCCACTCGAGAAAAAAAAATTTCAACTTAATAAATTTTGACTGTCCTGGGTGCAGAAATAACATTGATTCTGCCAATTATCTGCAGAATCATTAAAATAAAAGAAAATCGCGCAAGATTGATTGTTTCGAAAACTATCTTAGTACAGTAGTATTTACTTATACTGTAAATGTTCTTTTTTGACCCAAACAAAATCGATTCAATGATTAGCATGACATTGTGGAGTTTCGAAAATGATTCTCTCTCGAGATCGAACCCAGCCCTTGACTCGCATTGTTGACAACCGAAATCCTGCTGATTCAATTTGCAATTCAACTTGTATATGCAAAAATGATTCAACAACAGTTTCCGAGCAAAGACATGAAATGCATCCTGTCAAAAGTGAAGAAAGAAATTTGGATTGATCAACGCAGTCGTCACTGAATCCGGATCAAACTGAATCCAAATCCAAGCCTTGTGTCGCGACACCTGCGGGTTTCGAGATAACATATCAGCTGTCAATCACCAGAATCAATGAAAAAAAATACATCGTCGCGAATTTCTTTCCATTTATGTCTCAGGGAAAATCCTCATTGCTTATTCCCCCCGAGAAACTCATCGGAGGTTTTGTGCAAAAAAGAGCGAGTCCCTGTCTTTCAAGTGACGCGAATAAAGTGTGTTCCGCTTCAACACGAAAAAATACCAAGAACAATTTGAAAAAAATAATAAACATAGAATAAGCGAAAAGCTTAATTAGTGCGAGCTTCGACGTCGACGCAGTATAGGAAAAGTACTGTAAAGTACCGCCGAAAAAAAAAACGAAAGAAGTCGACGACGACATGGCGCCGAATGCAACTACGACACATACTTCAACATGCGACTACGTGCCCGAGTTCACGGGCGTGTGTTGTCCCATTTGTGCGTACCCGATAACTGCTGTCGACTTGTACTTTGGAACACCAGCACCGATTGTTGACAAGTTGCCAAAGTTTCAACAACAACAACAACAACAAACGAGAGCCGTGTCATCCCCGGTTGCCGAAATTCCAGTTGCTCTTATTCTGCCTCCCCCGGTTAACGGACGCTCGGCCGTGTGTTGGTCCGATGAAGGTAAATTGGAAAAAAAAATCATCTTCGGAATTTATCTTGAAGTTGAAAAAAAAAAAAATCTCCGGAATTTATCGTGAAGCTGAAAAAAAAAATCATCTCCGGAATTTATCTTGAAGTTGAAAAAAAAAACATCTCCGGAATTTATCTTGAAGTTAAAAAAAAAATCATCTCTTGAATTCACGAGGTTAAGAATTACAGTGAGGGCCCCGGCATACGGACAATTCTAATCTGGGACATTTGAAACTTGCAACAATAAAAATCTGCCTCGATAAACGGATGATGTCTTTATTGAGCCATGGACACTTTTCCAAAATTTCTTGATGAATCAAAATTGTTAGGATTTTGATATCTCTTGAACAGGTTGAGCCATTAATTTATATTCACACAAAAATTGAAAGTAAATTTTGTGAAAAGTTATTCCAATTCATAATCAAATAAAATAGGCAAATTCTGTGCTTCTTTTTTCAAAGTTTTTTTCCACCATCATCTGAGCACAGTATGGCTAGAATTGTTCTTTGCTTTTTGAGCTCCTTTTGATGCCAAAAGATCAGATTCGGTGGGGTTTTTTTCAATACATTTTTTTTATCTTGAAGTTGAGTTCAAAATTTTATTTAATTCTAAGGGGACTTAATTCCCAATTTTTGATGAACATAAGAATCAATTAAATATGTTCTAATTGAAGCTTATGGGAAAACGTGATCCAACATAAGGAAAAGGTCCAAGCACTAATTACGTCCGCATCTCGAGGCCTCACTGCATTGCTTTTAAAAGACAATGGGGTCTCATACAACGAACTTATTTATTTTTCTTTAACCAAAAAACGATTCGTCATCGAATACGTATATGAGGTAAGACGACTTTTCTTTCATAGGATGCCACCTATGTATATTCCCAAAAAATATTTTTCTTTATTCAAATCGGATTGATTTAAGAACATTGAAGTGGACGTCTGAGTCCAAATATATTTCCCTGTAATTCGGATTTTTTACAATAAAAATCACTTTTTGATATAAATTAAATGAAAAACATTTTCCTTGTCCCCAAGTCCATGCTATCAACATGAATAAATAAGTCATTCTCCGTCGGTGGCATTTCTTCTGTATCCCTGAATCTCATTCAACAAATTATGTATCATTCCAAAAGCATCGAAGCACGAAAATTCTAATTTTTCATCTACTACGGTCCTTTATTGATGAATGAGAAAGAGGTTTGCTGGAATTCCCCTCGAGGCCATTTGAATACCCAATTTTAAAACCTGTCGTATTATGCGAATCTACAACCATTCTAGAATAATCCATTCATGGAACCTTTTACAATATTTACAAGGTTTTGAAATTCCTGCTTCGTATTGTCATTTACAGAAACTGAAGTAAAAAAATAAAGCCAATATTTTTATATTTAAGGGAAAGTCAATGAATTTTGAAGCTGGAAATGAAAAAAAAAATTAGCACCACACATTGTTTTAATTACAAAGGGCTGATATTAATTTCAGGGGAAAAACTAATTAATCACAATCTGGATTCAGATGCAAGATGAATTCAATTTACATGAATTATTGCGCGCTTTGCATTTTTGAATGTTTCTTTAATTTTTAATCAGGATAATAAAAATCGTTGAAAAGACCTCAAAACTGTCTGAAAGAACCATTTCAATTGTGAATTGATTGGGAAACAATCACACTGTTATCACACTTGGAAGACCAGAAAATCGACAGTTCAAGATCAAACTCAACACTTCAATCTTCTGATAATTAATCACCTGGTTGTATTCTTATCTCGAATCATGTAGTGAGTATACAGTTACAAGGTTCCAATTCTAGGAAAAGTCAGCCTAGTGAAATGCTTTCTGTCAAAAGTGAGGAATGGGTTGATCAGATTTTTCCGCCGAAACCAGATAAGGTTCAGAACCCTTCAGGTTCAGAGAACAAGACAAAGAGATGATAAAATGGTTCAGTCTATACAGTATAATTATAAAATTCATCAAGATAATCAAAATATCGTGGAAACCTGGCAAACTGAGACTTTTCCAAGTGCATCTGATTTTGTATTCCGCCATTTCAATGTTTTAAAATGATAGAAAATTAATCCGTAGAAGTATATTTGAAAGAATTCGTTTTCGGTGGAATATTTTCGTGTTCAAACAATCATGGATCAACAATAATAGTCCCGAAAATTTTCATCCAATTTCACTTTTTCAAAAGTGAAAAATCGCTAAAGACTTTAACCGAGCACTTATCATCCACTCGAGAAAAAACAAATTTTAACTTTATAAATTTTGACTGTCCTGGGTGCAGAAATAACATTGATTCTGCCAATTATCTGCAGAATCATTAAAATAAAAGAAAATCGCGCAAGATTAATTGTTTCGAAAACTGTCTTAGTACAATAGTATTTGCTTATACTGTACATTTTCTTCATTTGACTAAAAAAAATCGATTCAATGATTAGCATCACATTGTGGAGTTTCGAAAATGATTCTCTCTCGAGATCGAACCCAGCCCTTGACTCGCATTGTTGACAACCGAAATCCTGCTGATTCAATTTGCAATTCAACTCGTATATGCAAAAATGATTCAACAAAAGTTTCCCAGCAAAGAAATGAAATTCATCCTGTCAAAAGTGAAGAAAGAAATTTGGATTGATCAACGCGTCGTCACTGAATCCGGATCAAACTGAATCCAAATCCAAGCCCTGTGTCGCGACACCCGCGGGTTTCGAGATAACATATCAGCTGTCAATCACCAGAATCAATGAAAAAAAATACATCGTCGCGAATTTCTTTCCATTTATGTCTCAGGGAAAATCCTCATTGCTTATTCCCCCCGAGAAACTCATCGGAGGTTTTGTGCAAAAAAGAGCGAGTCCCTGTCTTTCAAGTGACGCGAATAAAGTGTGTTCCGCTTCAACACGAAAAAATACCAAGAACAATTTGAAAAAAAAATAATAAACATAGAATAAGCGAAAAGCTTAATTAGTGCGAGCTTCGACGTCGACGCAGTAAAGGAGAAGTACTGTAAAGTACCGCCGAAAAAAAAACGAAAGAAGTCGACGACGACATGGCGCCGAATGCAACTACGACACATACCTCAACATGCGACTACGTGCCCGAGTTCACGGGCGTGTGTTGTCCCGTTTGTGCGTACCCGATAACTGCTGTCGACTTGTACTTTGGAACACCAGCACCGATTGTTGACAAGTTGCCAAAGTTTCAACAACAACAACAACAACAACAAACGAGAGCCGTGTCATCCCCGGTTGCCGAAATTCCAGTTGCTCTTATTCTGCCTCCCCCGGTTAATGGACGCTCGGCTGTGTGTTGGTCCGACGAAGGTAAATTGGAAAAGAAATCATCTCCGGAATTTATCTTGAAGTTGAAAAAAAAAAATCATCTCCGGAATTTATCGTGAAGCTGAAAAAAAAAATCATCTCCGGAATTTATCTTGAAGTTGAAAAAAAAACATCTCCGGAATTTATCGTGAAGTTGAAAAAAGAATCATCTCTTGAATTCACGAGGTTAAGAATTGCAGTGAGGGCCCCGACATACGGACGATTCTAATCTGGGACATTTGAAGCTTGCAACAATAAAAATCTGCCTCGAAAAACGGATAATGTCTTTATTGAGCCATGGACACTTTCCCAAAATTTCTGGATACATTTAAAATTTTTAAATTTTGATATCTCTTGAACAGGTTGAGCCATTAATTTATATTCACACAAAAATTGAAAATAAATTTCGCGAAAAAATTATTCCAATTCTTCATGATAAAAAAATTGGCAAATTCTGTGCCTCTTTTTCAAAGTTTTTTCCACCATCATCTGAGCACAGTATGGCTAGAATTGTTCTTTGCTTTTTGAGCTCCTTTTGATGCCAAAAGATCAGATTCGGTGGGGTTTTTTTTCCATACATTTTTTTTTTTATCTTGAAGTTGAGTTCAAAATTTTATTTAATTCTAAGGGGACTTAATTCCCACTTTTTGATGAACATGAGAACCAATTAAATATGTTCCGATTGAAGTTTAAGGGAAAACGTGATCCAAGATGAGGACAAGGTCCAAGCACTAATTGCGTCCGTATCTCGAGGCCTCACTGCTTTGATTTTAAAAGACCATGGGGTCTCATACAATGAAGTTATTTATGTTTCTTTAACTAAAAAACGATTCATCGAATACGTTTATGAGGTGAGACGACTTTTCTTTCATAGGATGCCACCTTCATATTCCCAAGAAATATTTTTCTTTATTCAAATCGGATTGATTTAAGAACATTGAAGTGGACGTCTGAGTCCAAATATATTTCCCTGTAATTCAGATTTTTTACAATACAAATCACTTTTTGATATAAATTAAATGAAAAACATTTTCCTTGTCCCCAAGTCCATGCTCTTAACATGAATAAATAAGTCATTCTTCGCCGGTGGCATTTCTGTGTATCCCTGAATCTCATTCAACAGATTATGTATCATTCCAAAAGCATCGAAGCACGAAAATTGTAATTTTTCACCTACTATCGTCCTTTATTGATGAATGAGAAAGAGGTTTGCTGGAATTCCCCTCGAGGCCATTTGAATACCCAATTTTAAAACCTGTCGTATTATGCGAATCTACAACCATTCTAGAATAATCCATTCATGGAACCCAAACGTGCTTCTACGTAGTTGGAATTTGTCCTACTATGTTGTAAATTGTCTTGCGTTTCAAAGAAAATTTCACTCTTAGCCTCTGCGCTTAAATTTTGTTGGAAAGTACTCAATTCTCTATCCTGATTTTCTTTGAGATGTCCCTCTCATAAATTGTATCCTAAAAATAAAGCAACGTACTCAAATGAGGAGGAATTTAGTTCATACAGTGGGACACCGACATACGGACAGTGTTGTGAGATACCAATACTTCCAAAATTGCTAGAGAAATTAAGAAATTGTATTTTACTAAATTTTGATACCGTACTACCTCTTGGACAAGTTGAGCTATTTGTATTCACACAAAAAATAAAAAATAAATTGCATTATAAAATTACTCTGATTCATTATCAAAAACAGGCTGATTTTGAGCTTCTTTCCTCAGGGTTCTTTCCCACCATACGTGCACAGTATAGCTTGACTTTTTCTTGTTCTTTGCTTCTTGAGCTCCTTTTGGTGCCAAAAGATCATATTCTATGGGGTTATCTCCAGCACAATTATCTTTTTCTTGAGGGTAATCAGGAAAGCAACTTTTATTTCATTGGGTGGGGGGGGGGTTATTCCTCATGTTGATGAACTCAAGAACAAGCAGGTATCTTCAGATTGAAGTTTGAGGAAAAATGTGATCCAACACACAAATGGATGCTCCCAAATAGGAACAAGTTCCAAGCACTAATTATAGTCAACCCCCAATTGAGTGCCACTGTTTGTCATGGCACATTTTTTGGCACAAAGCAATTAAGGGTGTAACTAAATTGAGGATATTGTATGATGAAGAGAGGTTCAGTTCAAGGTTTCCATTATACAAAAAAAGAGCTTCGTCAAAGAATTTTTAGGCCAGTCAGGGTGTTTCATAAGATAATAAGCCAAAATAAATAATACAATGCTCAAATATACTGTATTTACTCAAGTACCACTAGCACCTTTTTTCTCAAATTTCAGAAGAAAAAAAGGGGTGCGTGTCATAAGTGGGTACAAATTTTCCAAGAAGTTTTGGGAAGTTATGTGTGCATTATACTTAATTATAATAGAGAAATTTGGAACAAATGTAACAAGAAAACTTCTTTGTACTGAAAGAGTTTGAAATTGATCAGATTTTTGTTCAATTCATGTCTAAATTAAATTTGTTGTTTTTATTTTTGAAATTTTGTGGTTTCAGATTCACTAAAAATTGGGGTGCGCATCTTACTAGGGGTTAAGATTTTAGCAAAATTTCCAACTGAAAAACCCCTGTGTGCGCCTTCCTCACAGGTGCATGGTACTCAAGTAAATACTGTACTTATAAATATTTTCTTTCAAAATATGTATAAAGTGAGACTGTATTTGATTTTTCAGCATATGACATCTAGTGAAAGATCACAGCTGTTTCTCAAGATTCTGTGTGCATTTGAGTTAGTTCATATAAGGTGCCAACATGAGGGAATTGCCAATGTTTCCACAAAAGCTTCCAATTTTTTATATTTTCAATTGAGGATGGCATCATGGAAAAAAATATTTTCCATTAATTTACATTTTAAAAATAGATTGTTCACAATTATCCTGAATTGTATATGAGTATGGGCATGTGAGGCTCAGTTAGAAGTCATATAATCCAATGTTCTCCTTAGAAAAATAAAGCCTTGATTACTGCACTTCAATTCTTCGTAAATGGCAGAGATTTTTTGTGGCACTAAGTGAGTTGGCACTAAATTGGGGTTTCCCCTAGGAACATAATGGAATGAAATTTGTACCAGGGACATTTGTGGCACTATGCAAGGGTGGCACTAAATCAAGGGTTGATTGTCTGCATTTGGGTGAATTTTGGTGAATTTTATTTTTATAATTTTCTCACATTTCACTGAAATTTTAAAAATTTACACTATATATACAGGGCTTTCCATGTGGTTTTCTCTTGCTGATATACTGCTCATATACTTGTACATAGACGGAATTATGGTGCCACATGCATGGAAAATCCATTCGTTGCCTCACACAGGAAAAGGTGGGAGTGTTCCTGTTTAATAATTTCGTCTGGCTTGCATTTATTATGCTCGCATATATTGTGCCAGCTAAATGCGGCATGCGCTAAACAAACACGCTTCGAAAAGGCACCACAATGACGCCTCCCCAAAGAAGGCTTTGAGTGGATCGTCTCCAATCCGCATACGGAATACAAATTCAAAGAAGGCTCTCTTTCGATACAGTATAATACTGTAAAGCAAGGGGTGTTATTTTTATTTGATAATTTGAAAGAAAAAAAAAAAAAAAAAGCTGACCCGAAAAACAAACTCGATCTTCCCCATGTTTAAGTCATGAACTCTTCCCTTTGAGTTACTGAGTGGGAGAAAAAAAAAACAAATGCCCTAATCGTCCCTGGATTCATGGAAACGCCAGTTCGATCGGGTCCAGGAGAGTAAAAACATCACGTGATTCCCCCCTTGGGTCGGGTTGAACCTCTTTTATTTTTTATTATTTTTATTGGATAATAGCGTGAAGAGGGTGTCTTCAGTTTAGGGGTAATAACTCATCAGGCCATTCTTGGTCCATTTCTAAAACTTTTAGCTTAAATGAGGAAGTGGCGTGTATTATTGTAATGTGTTGGAAATTTCCGCAGTAATCTCATTGATCCAAATTTTAAAAACAAGAGAAGAAACACTGACGCAAGTTCTAAGCGCCAGTCTTCTTCTCTTGACATTCTAGAATAAGTAATAAAAACTATAGAAGAGGGGAAAATATTAAAAGAGGGAGAATGGCACATGGAATTCATCAGAATCAATCAACGCTTGGGAGTTTTTATTCAGTGAATTAGTGTTTTTATGTGCATGATTACTCTGGAAGTGATTTAAAAAATCGTAGCGTAAAATTAAAAACAATTTGCTTTTGAAACCAATCTTTAACTATTATTCTGTTGATGCAACTTCGGTGCTCAACATACTAATCCCCAATATTTGAAACAGTCATTTACTTTATTCCCTCAAGATGCGCCCTTGATTTATTAGCCGAAAATTTGGCCAAACAAGACGGGCCAACAAATTGCCTGCACCCCAATTTTCAGAATATCTCCTTCATAATGTACAGAATTGTACTAGTAATTTTGAGAGTACTGTACTGTACTGTACATATTTTTATTCTATTTTATTCGCAAAATAAAAAATTTCGAGGCCCATTATAATATATTTTTTCTGAGAGGCCCATTAAATTTCCAATTTTTTATAATTTTTGAGACCCATTATAATACCCCGATAGATTGTCAATTTTTTATAATTTTTGAGGCCCATTATAATGCCTCAAAATTGTTTTTATAATCTTGAGGGCCATTATAATACCCGGAAAGATTTTTAATATTTTTGTAATTTGTGAGGCTCATTATAAATGCCCCAATAGATTTTTAAAAATCAGATTGTGGCCTATACTCTTGCACACGACTTAAACAGTCACGTAACTGTGATAAGCATAAGACTCCTAAAAATTTTCGAAAGATATCTCTTTACTTTTCTGTAGATTTTTATTTTTTTTCATTTTGCTCGCTAGGGCGAGTTCCAGAAATAGACTTCGATCTGGAGGTTGTGTCCTTGCTTTCGCGACGGGGTCGGGAACCTTGCCAAACGATTCTTGCTATTTTTCTCGTAAACACAAGCCCGGGGAGGGGGGGGGGGGGGTCTGAAAAAAAATGTTGAAAAAAATACCTCCGGAAGCGTGTGAGGATGTAGGAATTCCTTCAGAGCATAACTCCGAAAAAATTCTTTCTGGCCTGGAAAGCAACCTTGAAGAGGTATACGATTCTCTTTGAATCTCATATTGTTCAGTTGAACATGTTTTACATCCGTTTCTCGATTTTCATGAGCAATTCTTCCGTTCATGGATAAAAATATGTGCTTTAAAATGATAGCAGCCTTTGATTCAGGAATATTTTTAGCATTACATTTCCTGAATGAGTTTTTCATATCAAGTGGCAGAAAATGAATTGTTGATCGTTAATTACCAAAAAATTAAGTTAAAAACAGTAACTGGTTCAAGGTTATCCACATTCTTCCGACCTTGTTGTCACAGAAAATTGAAAGCGGCTAAACCTAAGTTTGTATCGCACTTTAGTTAACACAATTGCTGAAGGTATGAGATGAAATCAAGCCTTGTCATCTTGTTTCTGGATTATTCGGATAAAAGAGTTCATCTTCAAAATGAAGTTCTTAATAACGAAAAATGATAATAACGAGAAAGTGTGCGATAATTTAATCATGGATTCGCTTTTGGTAACTATAGCAAAGAACTACACATTAAAGAAGAAATCCAAAAGAAATTGCCAGAATTTTTTCTTTCAGTTTTTCTTTAATTTTTTTAACGGCAAACGGATGAATAAGCATGGAGAGTTTCCAGCTGTTTGTGGGAAGGCGATGTTTTTGCAAATTTCGGACTTGCTGAAATCTTGTGTAGTACTGATCGCAAGAGATTTCTTCACTTTTCCGACGTTTTTTCTTGCATTAAAAAAAATTTCACATGACACCCTCATAACTGGGCTCTTCTCGCAATAAACATTATTTATTCACGCACTTCTTCGACACCGAATCATTTATTTTGATTCGACAGGTATTTCCTCGCTGAGCTTTTCTTGCGATAAAAAATATTCACTCTTCCAATTTTCCCAAATTGTCTTATTTCGCTAAAAATGCTTTTTGTTGTTGAAAAGTTCATCACTGCTTTCCTCGCAACACTAATTTATATTTCTTTTCATATGCAAGCCAAGTATAACCCTTTAATAATACATTCTTTTTCCGGTTTTTTTTCCGGAGATTATTTAGGGAATGGTTCTTTAAACCCATTCCATTATTTATGAAGATAACGTCGGACCCAAAAATTCACTGACTTGCTTCAGTACTGCACTTGAACCACAAACACAAGACAGGAAATTAAAGCCTTGGGAAGAAAACACATTTAATTTAATCATCGCCCTTCGTTGACAGTCGAGATTGTGCTTATGAGGACAACTGACGGCATTTTTCCGGCGGAAATTAAACTTGATTCACTTTTTGTGCCAAAACTAAGGTGAGTTACTCGAACCATCCAAAGATAAGGGAGTCTGGAATAAAGGGTTCAAGGATTAGCTTTTCTTACAGGCAACAAATTTATCATCCACGAAAATGATTTCACTTTGAATTTGCAGTAATTGAATCATTTTCCTTTGTTTTTCTCAGAATGTTCAAAGCGGCGGAAAATCTCGACATTAAGCGATATTCGTAAAGATTCGCTGTCCATAACCTCAACAGAAAATAACATCATTTACGAGAAGAATGTTTTCCTTGTGATGAATCTTTTGTTTCTCTTCTTTTTTGCGCCAAAACAAGGCTAATTTTTACCCGAGCCATTCAATGATAATGAAGGATTCAAGTAAGGATTTAAGGATGGACTTTTCTGTTGGACAAAAGAGGCATAATCCACCGAAAGGCTTGGACAAACTTGAAAATTATTGAAATAATTATTGCATTTCCAAAATTTCCAAGCGGTGCAAAAACCCCGATGTTGAGCGATTTGAATTCATTTACGCCTTCATTCATATCAATGTAAAAGAAGGAATTATTTCTTTATTTTAAAGAATGAATACGAAAAAAAATGTTGCATATTTCCCTCACCTTTCTGATGACTCAATTTCTCATCTTGAAGCATGAATAATTCAAAGGGAAGTTCTATTTTCCGAAAAAAGAATCCAAAACTCAACTTTGAATTCAATTTTTTTATTCATGAATCAAATGTATTATTTCGCTTTTAAAATTATAAATCTGAAAATGTAAAACAAAACAAAAAACCAGCATGAGTAGAGACTGTCCCATTGAACATATACGTCATTTCCTTTTAAAGCTAATTATTCGCTGCACAATTGTATTTCCTCCCGAAAGCAAAAAAAGAAAAAATTTGCAGGTCAGCCAGATAATTGTTGATCTCTTTCGTAAGCAGGCCAAATAGTTCAGTAGATTTTAAAACTTTGATTCGGAGGTCAGCCAATCCTGTAAACAGAAAAGAATCCTTAAAAAAAAAAAAAACTGAGACATCATAACCAAAAACAGGGACAAAGCAGGAATTTGCTGTCCTTGAAACTTCGCGTCTCTTCCTCGACACATCAAAGCGGTATACAATACACTCCACATTCCCATCACCTGCGTCGCAAAAACCCCCCTCTGTCACCTCGTGGGGGTAAAAGGCTTCATGTGGGGAGGGTTTGAAATACAATAAAAACAAGAAAAAGAATCTGGAATATTTTAGAGTATATAAAAGCTATGGGACACCTGTTCTGCATCAGGAACGCACACATTTGAGCCCGGAAGAAAGAGATCGAGATTCCCGCGCGCTTTTTGCGACGCGTCCCTATCAACGTATACCACGGGGCATTACAAAAATAATCCAGTTGAAATTTTTTTCTCCTGCCTGCAGGGAAAATTAAAGGCTTACTACTTTCGTCAATTTTCAAGACAATTTTGATTTCATTGCAGGCATATTTTTGTAGAAATTTTTGACGCTTTTTTTCTAGTTTTTTAAAGCACTGAAGTTTCTGCATTCTGAGCTGCAATTTTTGGAACAGAATTCCTGCATACACAAGGGTTGTTTCATAAGTTTTGAGAAATGCTGGACATAAGAAGAGAAGGTGCTCTGGTGATGCACAAACTAATTTGTTCATTCAACTTAACCTCATACAGAAACAAGCTGAAGACCTTGTGCTTAAAATTAATTTTTACATATACAGTATTTTGTTACCAATGTCCAGGAATGAATGGCGGTATGCATACATGTCACATGTCCAGTTGTATTTCATGTTGCATTGTATTTTCTTTTATTTTTGTTATCAATTTGTGCTTTTCTGCTCTGAGGTGATTAAATTTCATTGAGTGGATTTGGGTTGGGTGGGAAGGGGGTTTGGTTTTGGAAATCTTGATTGAACCTTGTGAATGCTGAAAAGCGGTGAATAAAATGTTCTGTTCATTCAAAAAGTTCTGAGACTTTTTGACATGGATCCAATGGAGTTTCAAGAATTCCAAAGAGCATTTTTTACTTGCATAGCCATTGAAAAATTAAAATACTTGAAAATATTTTTCAATACTGAAAATTTAAGTATTTTTTAAAATTTGCTGAGAAGGTTTTTACTCAAGTATGACATGCAACCCACTTTTGAGTCTCGCTTCATTTTGGAGAAAAATAGTGCACGGGGTGCTCAGGTAAATTTTTCTAAACTCTGACTGTAGGAATTGAATGAATGAATGAATGAATGAATGAACAGAACACTTCATTTGCCGCTTCTCAGCATTCACAAGGTTCAATCAAGATTTCCACAACCACACCCCCTTCCCACCCAACCCAAATTCACTCAATGACATGTATTCACTTCAGAGCAGGGAAGCACAAATTTATAACAAAAATAAAAGAAAATACATTACCACATGAAATACAACTGGACATCAGACATGTATGCATACACCAATTCACTCCCTCTGACATTAGGAAATGAAATCACGTATTCTTGTTACAGAGGTAATTTTTTTCTCTTGTCTGACAAAAAAAGTGACAGCTCATTTGTGGAAACTTTGGCACTAACCCTCTGCCGTTACCCGCGCGGGTCCGAAGCGGAGTCTCTCTCTCCTGTGTGTTTTTTCCCTGTCGACGAACCGTGTCCCAGCGTCAGTCCCAAGCGTCGCGTTCAAGGGGTCACATTCAGTAAAATGTACATAACACAAAGGTATTGGACTCTGCGAAAAAAAAACGAGTCTGTTCGTCTGATTCACATTTCCATGTGCTTCTCCTTTTTTGTAAAATGATGAGAAAGCTCACTGCTTTCGAATTCGAATTGATTCTTCTATCTTTCCGGTTCCGGCATCTGAATTTCAGTTCCGCGCTCGGAAATACAAGCTTCCGTGTTTTTTTTTATTTTATTCAGTTTTTGTTCGATTCATCGGGGTTTAGTTCGTTTCGGCGAGGACTGATCTTGAGTTTCAACTCGTTTCTCAAAAAAAAAATTGGAGCCTCGTTTTCAAATAAACCGAAGCATTAAATACAATTTCTTTTTCTGAACCTGTTTTGAATATACTATACAGTAAGACGACGTGGGTTTTTTGCATTAAAATGTGCTGTTCTTCCTCGCCAATCCCTTCATAGTGATTTTCCTGGTGACTTTATCTTCATTTTACGATTTTTAAATTCTCGCAGTTTGAGGTCAGTTATTTTTTCATCGAGCAACAGTTGCCTCATGAGCCTTTAGAATCCCAAATTAAAATCTTTACAATCTTTAACAAAAAATCGAGACAGCATTCCCAGATTATGAATATTGTTGATCTTGTCCTCTGAAAAAAAGCAACGTAGAAAGTGGAAAAAATGAGCACTTTGAGGGACAAACATAAAATGCAAGATCAAACTTAATTTTTGGGAAATAACGCAGTTATGTTCGTGATCACGCCACGTGCCTATGTTTTTTTTTTTTTTTGCTTTTAGATCAGTGTAATACTATTTTTAAAGTTTTCAAATTCCTAAAAACTGTAATGTGCAAGAAAGAATTTCGTTTTGAAGTCTCATGAAAAAGAAAGGACGGGTTCATTTTCTGCAGCTTCGTCTGCTGAATTCTGGTCGTGTAATTACCGTAGTTACGAAACGTGTCCTTGTGCGTTTTGTGTCGATATTTCACACAGTTCTGTTTAGTTAGTCCATTTCTGCACTGCTTACAGCATCGTGAAAAAAACTGTAATTATATCGCACGTTTTCACTGTGGAAAAGAAAAAAGAGTGACGAAGCGCACACACACAACATCGGACATCATGACGATGATTCCAGTGGAACAAGGTTTTGAATCCTTCTTCTTCTTCTCGCATCTCTGCGATGATTCGATTGATTGACGTTTTTGTTAATTAAGAAAGTGACTTTTAAAATTTTCGGATTTTTTTTTGTTGTGTGTGTTTCGTTTAAAGAGCTCAAGGCGGCTTTCACCATGTTGGACCAGAACAAGGACGGAGCAGTGAACGCATCCGAGTTGCAGAACATGCTTTTGAATCTCGGCATTCATCTCAGAGAGGAAGTGATTGAGGAACTCATCAAGCAAGCGGGCTGCAAAGGTGAATAATTTTTCAATTCATCTTCTAGGCTTTGTGTCCAGTGAAACTATCATCATTGCCTTACCCTTCCAAAAAAAAGCCTTCGAATAATAATAACGAAAATGCTTTTCTCAATGATAAGCTTAAAATACGGTATACTCCCTCAAATAGCGACCTCCTGATGGCGTCGCTATCCGGCGTTGGGGAACCAAGTAACGCTTCAGTAAACATCAAATAATCGGACAATTAATTTGAGTAAAATCACGGCAGCGGAAAAACCACCCAAGGAGAAAAACCGATCAAGAAATCCTCTCATCCCCTCCTCAAAATCAAAAAACTTGGCGCCAAGACGTCTTTGACTCGACTTTCTCAAGCCAATCAGTTGCCTTGGCGCCAACCCCTGTCTTTGATCCGCATCCTGGATCAAGGAGAAATCACTGAAATTAATAAAAAAAACTAATTTCAACCCTTCGCTAGTACCAGTTGTCAAAAGCTATTGTTTGGAGCATCTTCAGGCAAAGAGAGTTTTGCTGAGAGGTTAAAAAAATCTTCCGAGTCTATTTGTTCAAAGTCGAAAACTTAACCTAAATTTCTTGTGTGTATAGGGACATTTTTGTTTGAAATTCGAAATATATTTCTTCTTTTATTTTTTGAATCTCACCAAAGATTCCCTGCCTAGTCCCGGGCAGATTCTGTATTTTTATTCAATTTTTCTTTATATCAACTATTTTCTAAACCTTGCTTTCTTTGTGTTGAGAACTTTCTCCTCGTGAATCCTCAACATCCGGTATTTCGAGCCTTAGTTTACAAGTTATATAAGAATGATTTCTTACAGTTTTGAGATTTTGGATGAATGCGGGCCATTTTAACATCCTGGCCAATCATTTGATTTCCCACGTAGAAATGTAAATTAATAAATGACAGCTGAAATTGGACGTAATTGAAGTTCATCTTCTGAGCTGGCTTTTTTTCTTCTTGTGGATGCTGAATGCCAAAGTCATCGAAAAATGTGCGAAAATATTATATTTAGCGATAAAATTCAAGAAAATTCGTAGTAAATCAACCGAAGATTTCATCAAGTCTTGAATTTGATTCCGATCAGGTTCTCCGGATTTTATTGATAAATTTGGGTCTCCAATTTTAGAGTAGAGTGCACTTTCAAATATTTGAAATCCCTTCTTTTCAATTGCGTGGGGGAAAAACCAGAATTACGAAGGGAACTTCAATTCTAGTCGGCCAATCTTGAATCAGTTTCAATTCCCATGATTGTTTTTTTTCGATGGAAAGATCGAACGAAAAGGAATGTTGATTTCTATGATGGGCACAAAATAAGATGTAAGAAACTGTACTTCCGTATTGAAAAAAAAAGGAATTAATTCTTTTCATAAGTACAGTACCTTCATTGACTTCAATTTTGGGAAAGAAATCCGACCTCAGGAGGAACCATAAAAAGGAATGAAAAACTGAGGATTTTTCTTCTACACATACGCCACGACAGCGATTTCATGGCTTAAAAAATTCAAACCTCGTCAACCGTGTCGGTTTTTTGAACTCGTAATTCAAAACGACATGTTAATAAAAACATGCATAAATCAGAAGAAAAAAAAAACTTTTTGTGTGGATGAAGAGGCAAAGTCTGAGGCCATCTGGAAACTCGATCTCCTGTACTACGATATTTTAACAATTTTTGTGAGTCAAATACAGGGACAAGCCCCCCGTAGTTGGGTAGTTCCATTTCACAAGCGTGTGTTTAGCATATTACAGGGCTCTCGGAACACATAGACATCACAGGGGAAATACCATTCCGGAATAATTTCTGTTCCAATTCAAAAGCAGCGCGCTTTATTCTTATTTTATCAATACTGTATTTGAGTACAGTACTCGTCGACCCGTAGGAATTTCACGCGACGAAAAAACGCGAAATTTTTCCGACCTTACGAAAGGTCATTTTACTTTTATTTTTTGCTGAAAAATGTATTGATTTACATTGCTCGGAAGGAAATCGCAGCTTAAAATTTTTTTTGAATTCCTGAAACGATTTTTGCATCTTTTCTAGGCTATTTTTGGGATGAAAACCCTTCAATTATTCCACGAAGTTCCCTGCCCACTAAAGTTATGAAAATGATGATAGGCAGCCTTTTAATTATGCGGGGGAAAATGAAATTAAAATAAAAAATATTGAAAGCAAAAGATATCTGTTGAATAGTTGGAGCTACTCCCTTGGAAATTTGGAATGAACATAGAACTGATGTTCACTCCAATACAACTCCAAAAATGTTCCGTCTTCTTAATAATGCACATTACTTTTTTTTAAAGCGCATTCGTATGCTTATTCGAAAAAAAAAGCTAACCGCAGAAAAAGTTGAGTCGTTATAGGCCTTGCCAATTCGAACCTCTCTAAGTAAAAATCATATTTCGTTACAATTTCCAATTGGACAAATTCTTCGAAGTCCAATGCAACTTAAACGTTCCTTCACCAACAACTTTCGGGTCAAACTTCTGTTAGTCGAATTGTTCCCATTTTTTTTATATCAAATTGAGTTTTATTTTTAAAATACCACCTCCAGAAAAAACAAAATTTAATTTTTCACCTTCATGCTCTCTACAAAGAATTGAGCATCTTCACGCAGGTCGGACATCTATGAATAATTAACAGTTATAATTGCTTATAAACTACTCAAAATGAAATCGAACTCTCGAACTCAAAAGCTCTTCAAGTGGAATTTTTGGATTCCCTTTGAAATTTTTGAAAAAATGTCCCCTATAAACAGCAAAATACCTTTTGACCTGAAAAAGGAACGTGTTCGATGGTTTTTTTGTTTTCGAATTCCAAAAGAAGGCTTGAAGGTTCGGCTGCGTCTTCAAATGAGAAATTCGTAACAACAAAAATGAATCCAACGAGAAAGAATCGCTTGTTTCGAACACATTTATTCCATATTGATAGATGATGATTGGATGACTATTCTCATCTTCATTTTTTCCCCATTTTTTGTTCCCCAATAACGAGGATATCGTAAAGTACTTATTTTCTGGTAGCTTTTATCTTTCTCTATGGAGAATCACGAGCGGATAAACGCAGGATTCTACTTAATCGACTGAAGCAGGCCTCATTAATCAATGTCACAAGCAAGTATCTATATGAGAGGGAAAAAGATCCT